AAATGTTTTGTAAAGGGAAGCATGCTGCAATGGAAATGACAATGACCTTGGAATCAAGAGCCCTTTACTAGCCATGTGACCATGACCAAGTCACTTTAATCTTACTGTTTCTTAATCTATCAAATGAGTATGATAACCCTTGTATTAGTTACCTCACCAAGTTGTAAGGATTGACATTTTTAAAACATTGCTACGTAAATGTCTGCTATCCTTCACTTTGTGATTAAAAGACTAAATGACAGTTATTTCATTCATCCAACTCAAAGATCATTCTTCCTTGCATTTTAGCTTTAATGGATTCTTGGTAAATGAATGAATTATAGGAAGGGAAGGGCAAAGACGAGTCACTTAAAAAAAAACTGTGAAGTTTTGCTTATGCCTTCCCATTAAAAAAAAAAAAAGTCAACTTTGGTGAGCTAAACTTGTAAATAAATTTCTAAAACAGCAACCTGGCCAGGATATACCTGTATGGTCAACCAAAATCAAAGTTTGATTATGAATGTCATAAAGGGCTTCATGGTTTCACAGAATTTCCATTAACCTTCAACCTTTGATGAAATCTGAATTAATGAAAGATAGCTTCTGAGGAAGCAGCCACTGCTGCAATCTCCCAACAAATTAAGAGTCACTAGCAGCTTTCAAGTTTTGAATTCTACCAGAAGGTAAAAGACATGTGTCAGAAGGAAGGGAACGAAAAATGTACTGGCTGTCATATTTCATATTCTCCTCATATTTTATATCTCTCCATTTTCAAGTCTCATAGTGCTATGTTTGGACAACTTCTTTTCCCTTCTTTGTACAATTTGTATAATAGTTATTTGTATACATGTCTGATCTCTTTTATTAGATTTAAACTCCTTGAGAGTAGGAACTATATTTTTTTTAATCTTCGTATTCCCAGTGTTTAGCAACAGTTCAGTAATCCATTACTGTAATTTCATCAGATTAACTTCACCAACAGAAATTACAATCTAACCTCTTAAGATGTGATTTTTAAGGGATACAATGGCTGAAAAGTTCATCATCATATGGTTCAACCTGGTGATGAACCTCTCTGAACTTTGGATGGTCTTTGGACAACAGAAACACTGTCAAATAATGTGCCTATAATTGAAGTCTTCCAGCTTGGTAAAATTTGACTCACAGGCACAACTTTTGACACAACTTTTAAGAACCCAAAGTCACCTTTATGTTATGAAGAAGGTAAGACTTCAGTCTTACCTTATAAGCACACAGTAGGTGCTTATAAGACATTCACTGAATTGATTCATTGTTTTACCAATCCCCTCAATAGCGATTAAAACTTTTTCTCACTGTGACCAATAAGGGTAGACAAGGAGACCTTCAAATGGATAAAATTTTAAGGACCTCGAAGTCAGTAAGATAAAACTTTGCTCTAGGTATTTTCTAGCTATTAAATGAGTACATGTGATACACAGAAATCAAATAAAGGAAATAAGGAAGTTCTAAAACCAGAAAAAGAATCTAAGATATAGGAAAATTTTATTGAAGTATTTGATAATAAAAATAACTGATGTTTATATTTTGTTGTAAGGCTTGCAAACCAGATTATACACATTAACTCATTTGAGCCTCATGACAGCCCTGTAAGGTAATATTATAGATATTATTATCCTCATTTTACAGATGAGAAAACTGAGAGGTTAAATGACTTGCCCTTGGTCACACAGCTACTAAGTGTTGGAGGCAGGATTTGAACTCAGGATTTCCTGACTCAGCATTCTACCTTATGTTGGCTCCCATATATATACCCAGATTTCCCACAATACTGCAACTTAATGATCTACATAAGAAGTATTTCCAGAAGTACAAACTGAAACCCATCCACATTCTTAAGTTATATGGCACAGTCAATGGTTAAAGAAAAATATCACCCAATTATATAGAAACCAAAGACAAAGGTATTGTCAAGTCCACATGGCAAAGAGAAATGGCTTCAAAATAGGAACACTATCAGCACCACAGCAGAGATGACCAATAAGTTAAATGTGGAATTGGCATGTGTCACTTCTCAGCTATACCTTCATTCCAAATAGAGATACAAACACACAGGTGATCTTCAAATGTAGATATATAAGTCATTTAATAACACTGAAATTAATAGATTCTTTCAAGATGTAAATAGGCACCAGAAGACAAAATAGTAAATGTAAGAGGGGCTTTGGGGAAATAGGCACATCTCAGTGCACTATTGTTGGAATTATGAATTAATCTGACCATTCTGGAACACAATCTATAACTATCCTAGAAAGGGCACTAAACCTTATGTATCATCAGAAACCCAGGAAATCACTATTGGGCATGTAACACAAGGAGATCCAAGACAAAAAGATCTTACGTGCACAAAAATGTATTTTCTACAGTAACAAGAAAAAAATTGAAACAAAGAGGGTGCCTATCCATTAAGCAACAGCTAAACGAACTGTGGTGTGTAAATGTAACGTTATTTGCCCCATAAGAAATCACAGCTATGAAGACTACAGAGGAACAAGACGACTTGCATAAACTGAGGCAGAGCAAGGTAAGCAGAAGAAAGAGAACAATCTCTAGGCAACTATCACAACAGTACAAAGAAAAGCCTGAAAGGCATTAGAAATCCCTGATTAGTGGGAGATTCTCATAGGTCACAGAACTAGAGCTGGAAAGAACCACAGAAGTCACATAGTCCATTTTACAGACGAGGAAAATGAGGCCCCAGGAGAGTATGACTTACCCAAGGTCACTCAGGTAGTATACATAAGAGGTAGGTTCTCTGATCACTTTCCACCATACTAAGTACGAAATGAGGCACATGGCCAAGGTGTTGGTTTGTTATGCCTAAATATACTTTTTTGTTACAAGGAGGGTTTTGAGGTGGGGGTGTACACAGAGGGAGGGGAAGCTTGAGGTCATTTAGAAGTGAGAACAACATAAAGATTTTTTTTAAGGAGCCTCCATACCTCCCTAGGGTATACTCAAGGAACCACGATATAGCTATGTTGCCATGTATATACAGTATGCTTTCGACAACAGATATCATAAATATTGTGTTTTTCTAGGTAAGGCTGACTTACAAAGATTATTACAGTAAGTAAATAATGTTCTGAATAGTTGATATTATATTTTTATCTTTAAAAGGATTTCTACTTAAATTGTGAATATGCCTTAATGCCCAATTTAATGCTGACATATGTACAAGAGGTCAGCAAAGTATAAAATTCTATCAGAACCACATATAGTAACTTGTCATTGCCCTGTAATTTACAAAAGAATGGGTATAGATAGCCTTCTAATAAAACATATTACTATTAGCAAGATCACATAAGGACCATGATCTTGTACTATATACATAAATGCAAATATGTGCCTGAAAATGATGAGCCTTAAGCTGTGAAAAGGATGGTAACTTAAGGACCACTTAAGATAAGAACTTGTAACAATGTTTAAAATTTTCAACAAATGTAATCAGCAGACAATGAGAGGTTTTTGGAAAAACTGTTGGAACTCTTAAGGTAACCTAAAAACTTAATTATGTCTACCACTAACAAAATCTCGTAATAAAACTTGTAAGAAAATTCCTATGTATAGTTAGAGGCATGTACAAAAAGTATGCATGTGAAAACATTAGGAGATTGTTGTGAAAGAATACTAGATTTGGAATCATTCAAGTCCCACATTTGACGCTTACTAGCCGTGGGATCGTGGTCAGATCACTTTGCCGCTCAGTGCCTCAGTTTCCTCATCTATATATTGAAGGTAATAGCACTTGTACAACCTACCTCACAGGTCTGCTGTGAGCTAAGTACTTTGCAAACCTTAAGAGCCTACATAAATGTTATTATTGGTGACCAGTTTAGTCATGGGGAAAAAGAATTATTTTGTCTCAGTTTCCCTAGTTGTAAAATAAGGGGTTAGACTAGATGAGCTTGGTTGGGCAAGTAATTTAAACTCTCTAGGCCTCAGTTCCCTCATCTATAAAATAAGTGAGTCACTCTAGATGGTCTCTGAGGTTCCTTTCAGCTCTGAATCTACAATAGACCATGTTATCTCTTGTTAGAGAGAAGCCCTGAGAGGAGGCCCTGAGTTGAAGAGAAGAGGGAAGAACTGACAGGCAGGAGGAGGAATCCCACCCAGCAGCAGCATCACTGCAGGCTGTGGCTGCCAAGCCAAAAGGCTGCTTGCTGACTGTACAGAGCCCTTGAGCTTCCTGCCTGGTAGCTCAGGCAGAGGGAGTTTGCCTGAGGTTCCAGAGGTAGCTGGTTCAAACTCAACCTTCCCTTCCAATACTAATCATCTGCTAATTTGTACATTTAGTAATTAAATAATTCAAAGGAGCATAGGCAGAAAAGAGGTACAGAAAAATTATTCTATTTTTCTTGGTTCAAAATAAATAAAAACCCCCATTATTTAGAAAAATCCTTAAACATACATTTTAAAATAATTGTTCAAAACTAGAAGCTACTGACAGGTCCTTAAGTGCTCCAACAGAATTGGGACTACAAAAGGACCTATAAAAATAGGTCCTTAACTTTAAACTAATCAGGGATTTCTCAAACCCCCGCCCCCCAAAAAAACCCCAGCTACTTAAGTTGAGGTTTTTTGTTAAGGTTGGTCCCTCTAACTTTATATCCAAGATTGTTCTATGCTAAAGTTGATTAAAATATTCTCACTAGATCTAGAAGATCTGTATTTATGGGAGAGTGACACAAAACCAAAATTTTAAGGGGGGGAGGAAAAGGGGAAAAGGATTCAATGAAATATGATCAGAGATAAAGGATACTCCAGTTTGGGGGGCAAAAACCTCCCAAAACTATCATCTTTGTACATACATTTCAAGATTGCCCAATATTTAGTGTAAACAGATATACTAGTAACATTATTTGTTCACGATGGAAGAAGCTCTTTTAGAGATAAATTTTCAGATGAAATAAAAACATATGGGAGACACATATTCAAGGACATACAGATACCCAAATCACAGAAATTTTAGATTGTATTACCTGTTCTGCACCATAAACTGTAGCAAATTGCACAAACTCTTCTATACGGACAAAACCATCCCCATCTCTGTCTAGGGCATCAAATACAGCTCTGAGGCGAGGGCCATCTTCCTGACACCCTGAAGGCTCATTTGGAATTGGTTCAGTCTGGTTGAAATCAGAGGATTGGCCCAGGTTATTCTGAACTATATCTAACTTCAGATCACACAAAGTGGAAGTAGTGAAAGAGGGAAAGAAGTTTATTTCATTACTAATTTGGTAACTATGATTTAAATCCTCCGCACTTAATGAAACACTTTTCTGGCATCTTCCGGGCACATAATCCTCTGGCTCTTTAGTCCAGGAAAAAACTGGATCAAGTCCTGAGAGCTGGGTTTTGGTGTCCGGGCAAGCAGCCTGGTCCATGCCTAAGTAAAAATCTCTTTGATCCTGAAGAATGTCATCACCTTTTTGAAGGCAGTTTTCTGTACATGATTCCTGCTCCCTAAGTTCTATGCTCAATTGTAAATCCTGTGGAGGTGACCGAGGTGGGCCCAAATCAAGAGCATAAAGGTCCTCCTGCTCCTGCTCTTCAGAACCTGTTAACCGGTCTGAGACTACCGGATCCTGCACCAAGGTAATAGCTGTATTAAAATCTTCTTCAGAAGAATCATTAACCACACCTAGCAAAGACATCGCCTTGTCACTAACAGATAAATCCTGATCGATGTCAGCGACAGAAGTGTTGGTCTCTTGGTCCAAAAGACAGAGGTCCTGATTTTCTAACCGATACAAATATTTGATGGGTCCTTTAGAAAATAAGTCCTCCCCCAAAACTTGCTGGAAAGCCACAGACCCCGTTTCCTGCAGTACAGGCCCTAAAAGCACCGAGGGCTGCGGAGGGGTCTCTGGAGGAAGCAGCACCAGATCGGGACCAGGCACCTGCCCCCTGGATTCCTCTGACACTTTCTCCAGGTCCATGAGGAAGTATTTCCCCTTCTGCTCCGGGAACAGGTCCCCAAACGTCAGCAGGGAGTCCGACGTGGTCCCGGCTGATGCGGACAGAGTCACGAATAAATCCGGCTCCATTTTCATGGGAAGGAATTGGCCAGGGCGGCCAACGACGGAGAACCAGCCCCCACCCTGCCCCCACCCCTTCACAGCCGAGGAGAGGCTGCGGCCCGCGACGGCGGGTCTGCACGGCGGGCGATTCCCTGCGGCTCGGGACGCAGACAAAAGACCTCCTCAGACACAGCAGGAGGAGCAGGAGGAGGAAGAGGAGGAGGAGGACGGGCGGCTGCGGCCGTGGCTGCCGAGAGCATCACTGCATCCGTGCGGGCGCCGCTGCCCTGCGGGGACCACCAGACCTTCCAGCGCCGGGAGGAGGCGACGCCGCTGCTGGGGCCGTCGGGCCCCCGCATCCATCTTGACCACCGACGCCCCTCATCTCTCCACACACGCCGGGAGCGGCGGGGGGGGCCCCATGGCGGCTGGGAAGAGGCCCACGACGAGGGAGGGAGGGAGGAAAGGGGCTGGGATAGGGTCGGGCTGGAGAGCGCTGGCGGGAGGGCAAGCCTAAGGGAAGAACCCTCCGCCCTGACCGCTCTGTTCTTGGGCTCGATCCCGAAGCTGAGGGGGCGGAGGGTAGCCCGAGAGTCGGGAGGCAGCTGAGCTCGAGCCCTTAGCCCCGCCCCTTCTCCCGGCCGCGTGGCGTCAATACGTTCATGGGCGTCGGGATTGGCCTCGCCCCCTCCCGGGATGACTATAAAAGAGCGGCGCGGCGGCTCCACTAGGCCCTGCTGCGGCGGGCGCCGGGATGGCTGGTGTGCTATGTGGGTATGTGGGAGTTTTGAATTGGCTCCTTTCTCACGCCCCAGAGTCTTTGTGTCCGCCTCCTTGGAAAAGGAGGTTGGAGTGTGGGAATGGGGCTGCTCCGAGTGCTGAGCCGCGGGGACGTACTGGTCCGCCCTAGGGTTCTCCTCCCTGTGGGGGAGGGCGAAGGTGAAGTGAGAACTGCGGGGCCGCCGCCGCTGCCTGGGCGGTGACGTCACCTTATTGCCTTGTGCTGGGGTGCGCGGAGGTGGTGCTGAAGGATGGGGAGATCTGGGACCGCGCCGGCTCCCAGCCTCCTCCCCCACAGCCCGCAGGAGGATTGGTGCAGTCCTGGTCCTCAAGGAGAGGCAGCCTTCCCCATAAAGTGACTGAGGGTGTGCGGCACAGCGTGGCCTCAGTGCCCGGGACCGCCCCGACCTGACGGAGCGTCTGCCGTCCACTTGCTTCTCCTAGTAGCTATCCCTCCGGGATTCTCGCCTAAAATGAGGGGCGTCCTCCCGACTGGGAGGTTCTCTGAAGTCCTGGCGGGGCCCAGCCCTTCCGCGTCCGCTTGGAGGGGAGGGGGGCTGGGTCTGCGGTTCTCCTCTCGGCGGCCCCACCACAGACACACCCCATTCTGCCCTTGTCTCGGGGGAGCCGCCCCGCATTCCTCTCTCTCCATCCCTCCCTCTCCCCTCCGCCCAGGACCGGGCTGGGGAACAGAAGCTTTTTGGCTCGAACTCCCAGGAGCAGGTCATGGCCAAGGTCTTGCTACCGGGAATCTGGACTGGGCCGGGAGAAGACAGCCCTGCCGTGATTGATCTGACTACTGGCAGCGAGATAGCAAAGCATCTTTGTCCCAGAGCTAACTCGCCCTTGACAAGTTTATAAAGTGCTTCCACACGGAACAGGGCAACCGAAGGGATTAGAAACTGTCTCAAAAACGAAGAACTGGGGATGTGCCTTGCACATAGTAGGTGCTTTATTCAATGTCTATTAAATGAAGACCTGGCAGTAGAGATATTTTGTTTTGGTTGTTTTGTTTTTCCGGAAGAAGGGATAGAATTTGTTAACTTAGGTTTGTTTAAAAATGGTTTTTCCCACAATTACCTTGTAATAAGGTGGGTAGTACGAGGATTCTCCCCATTGTACAGATGAGGAAAAAGGCTGAGAGAGAGGCAAAGTTATTTGTCTATGGTCAAAGAACCAGTAAATGGAGCTGCTTGCCAGACTCCAACCCCACCTCAACGTTCTTTCCACTACGCAATTGTCTTCTAACAGAACAGAGAACACTGTATTTTGCCTCTTTTTATAACCCCAGCGCTTAGCACAGAGCCAGGAAAATAATAGGCATTTAATAAATGATTACTGAATTAAATTGAAGGATTCGACTTATGCTTAGTCCCAAAAGTCAGAACTAGGAATAAGTCTAAGTCCTATGGAGGTCAATTTTGACGCAAAATAAGGAAAACCTTCCTAATGGAACTGGTTTTTTTTTTTTTTTAATGGAATGGGCTGCCTCATCGGGTAGTGGGCTCCTCTTTTCCAGAGCTCTTCAAGCCAAGCTTACATAAAGATGTTGAAGAAATGATTTGTTCATCCACTGGAGATAACCTGGGAGGGTCCTTTCCAGCTCTGAGATTCTGTGATTCTTTTGTGATTTTATTTGATCGTCACCACAACCTTGTGGGGGAGACTGGATAGAGCTCATTATCCCCATTTTACAGTTGAAACTAAAGCACTGAGGTTAAATGACTTGCCCCAAGGTCACAGAGCTAGGAAACAACAGAGCTCATAATTAAATCTAGGTCTTCTGACACCAATTCCAAAGCCTTTTCACTACAACAATGAGAGAGTGTAGTTGGATAACCACAGTGTATTGTACTAGCACTGGATGAACATGAAGAATGACAAAATCCCTAACCAGCAGAATTTCAATCCCTGTTAACCTGGGGAAACATGTAAGATAGTGCTTGGGTTGTATGGCAATTTACATAGTCTCACATTTTAGAGGGAAACAGGTAGGTGCATAGAGAAAAGGGGTTGTGACAGCCTCAGGCAGGGTGAGAAATCAACATATGGCATAATTTATGATGAATATAATTACTGTTATCTTAACCACTCTTCATCCTATCTCTGTGTGTAGCCCTGATAATTAACTGACTCATCTCCCGTCCTTGAATCACAGGAAGACTACCCAAATAGTGTGTGTGTGTGTTTATGTGTGTATGCACACACATAAGTTTAGGAGGTAAAAGAATAAGAAACCTCAAAACTATTTTGTAAGTCCGTAAGAGCCAAGTATTGAAACAAGTGAATTATTGTGTTCAAGGGAGATAAAGACCTGCTACTTATTTCAGCAGGAATTTGAAAATAGGCTCCTGACTTTGGCCAGATAAGCTTTTCACATGAGTTTTACTGGTGTGTCAACCTTATTCAACAAAAGGGCAGTGTTAGCCACAATTCCTCCTGCTCCATAAAGAAAGGTTTCATGTCTAAGAGCTCTGTAGAAGGTGGGAAAGCTAGTTTGGCATGTAAACGTTCCCCTATGGTATATTGTTTCAGAATCTGAGGACTGAAAGAGACATCAGAGGGCATCTAGTCCAACCTGAACCTGAACAAGAATAGTTCTCTGGTTGCTAAAACTACTTTGTTGACTGACCCAAGTGCTGAAGTATAAAATGACAACAGTAAAAACAAGTATTTTCTTGCTTAGTTAAAAAAAAACCCAACTCTACCTCAAACAGAAAACTAAAACAACAGTTCATTCCAAATGAATCATTTTAGTAGAATGTTGTAATCAAGTTTTCAATTTATTGCATTCTAAACTAAATTAAATTAACAAGGTCTTGCCAACAACCAGTAGCAGAGAATCCTTTACTACCCTTTTGGCAAGAATCATTCTCTCTTTTAGCTGTAGAATAACTGAGACATGTGGGAGAAGGTAGCCAGGAAGTCTTAATCATGCACCACCTACTTTTGGAAGCTTTTTCAGATTCCTCTTCCCCTCCTTCCCACACACTTACCCCAGTAAATGGGATTGGGGAGAGTGGTGAAGTCTAATGGGTTTTCCCTCCTTGAATGAATTACTTTGTGTTTACTTATATACAGACAGGTTTATCTCCCCTCCCAATAGAACCTAAGCTCCTAAAGACAGATGATTTCATTTCTGTGTTAGCATCTCAGTGCCTAGTACAGTGTCTTGGACAATAATGACATTTAGAAAGTATTTGAGTTGGAGTTCATAACCTGACAGGGTTTTTTGGCCTGTGTATGTGGCTGTTTGTTTTTTAAATCTACCTGTGAATTTCTACTTTTAAAAGAGTGTGGAGAAGCTCTCTCTCCTTTTGTGTTTATTGAGCAGACTAAACTAAAATGTCGTCTTTTACTGAAAGCCTTTTCCAACCCCTCTTAATTTTACCAGATGAAAAAGAGTATATCTCCCCCTCCTCCCTCACACACACATTTTGCTGTAGCCTGTCTTCTCAGTGTCCTTGAACATGCATATCCCTACTCACTGCCTTTGCTCACATCATTTCCTTTGACTGAAATGCCTGCCTTCTACTCAGCCCTGACCCATTCTTTCAGGCCCTGACCATCCCAAAAGTTCAGAATGATCTTATCTTCCTCTGAACTCCTAATTCCCTTGTATATAACCCTCATTTGGCATGTGCCATATACTCACAGCATATATGTTCATGTGTGAGTTTTGTCTCCTCTAATCTGTGAGCTTCCCAAAGTCGGGGGCTTAGGTCTCCAGAATATGAGCTCCCCAAGGGGAGAGCCTATGTCTGTTCCTTGTTTGTCCCTGTAACAGTGTACAGCACAGAACTGGGCACACAGGAGCCGATGGGCTCCCCATTTCCCATTAAGTATGGGAAACCACACAAATAATGTTTTATGCAAGAAACTCAGGACTCAGGGCAGCTATGTGGTGCAGTGGATAAAGCTCAGTCCTTTGAGTCAGGAGGACTTGAGTTCAAATGTGGCCTCAGACACTTGGCGCATACTAACTGTGTGACCCTGGGCAAGTACTTAACCCCAATTGCCTTAAAAAAAAAAAAAGAAAAGAAACTCAGGACTCGAGTAGCCTTATTACCCACCTTCTTCACCCTCTTCCCACCAGATTCATAAGGAACTCATCTACCTCTGAATCAAGACCAATCACTTAAGGGAGCAATAGAAGACCAAAAGCTTTGAGCTGAAGTGTGAAGTGGCTTATACTTAACACACATATTTATGGGTATCGTGTCTTCGTGATACCTTCTTCCCCATCCTTCTCTTGGACTAGAAACAAGGACCTGACACAGAGTCCCTAGTTGGTA